TTAAGCATTAACATTTGTTTATTATTTTTTTAATTATAGAACTGGCTCAAAAATTGATCTAAACGCATTGTCAACCGAGTAAAATATTCAACTACGCAAAAAATTCACCACACACGTCGAAATAACTCAGATCAACCCTGCAGTGTTTCCACAGACAAAAAGTTCAACCTAGATTTATTAGAATATAACTAAATAACATCAACAAATAAGCATTTGAAGCAAAATAATAAACCACACACCTTTGGATAAAATTCAAAATTCAATTTCGATGTGTTTAAGATAGCATTTTTTTGGTAGGAATTTTAGTGATACTAAACATGAAACAAATATTTCGTCCAAAATGCTAAAAATGTTTTTCTTCACTCAATGAATAGAAAGATGGTGTTAAAATTTACAAATTTATAACAAAACAAAATTGGTCGAAAGCTGTTTCGACAAAACTTCCCTCGCTCAATTCAATGCAACATCCAGCAATTTCAAATTAAGTTTTTTCTTTACACAATTTTGTGATGACGTCATCAACATTTCTGCAAGGACATGTATATCAACATTGGTGTAGTGTAATACTAAAAATAATAGTACTGTATACCAAAAGTTTTCTGGGAAAATGGAGTAAGCCGTTCCGGATTTAATCAACTGATTCATTTTTTTTTTTTGAGCCACCTGTGTAACCAAATGTAAAAAATTTGAATGACATCATCACATTATTGGTGGGGATGATTAGAGAAATTTTGATTAGCATTTTACCATCTACATGACATTCCTATTATAAATACAAAATTTGACAATTATAGGTCCAGTACTTTTCGAGATTATCTATTTAATAAAAATCGGGACGGCAAACCGACAGACAGACGGACATACAGACAGGCAAATGGACAAACAGGCAGACAGACGGACAGACAGACTCGATTACAATACTTCCTTCGCTTACGCTCGGGAAGTAAAAAGCTATCAAACATTTTCTACTGATTTCATAATAAGATTGACCTTTTATATAAAATTTTACAAACACTTCCTGCATCTATATGGTAAATCTTCATTTCATTAGCGTTTTATTTATTTATTTATTTATTTATTTATTTATTTATTTATTTATTTATTTATTTATTTATTTATTTATTTATTTATTTATTTATTTATTTATTTATTTATTTATTTATTTATTTATTTATTTATTTATTTATTTATTTATTTATTTATTTATTTATTTATTTGTTCACAACTGGAAATCACAAGGGAGTAATTCCACCAAACATGATGAAAAATGTAAGTTGTTATTACGTACACATAAGTATTTAATACCCCAGCATTTACACACTTTTAACTCTATTGTATTGTGCAATTCGTAGTTGAAATTATGAGATAAATATTTGGTGTTTGTAAAAGCTACAAAATATAAAATTTAAATGTGGTGGCTATTTTACTTTAACAAAAGTAATAATAATTGCAGTAAATTTTACCAACCACCCGGCAATTAACAGAGACTGACATCATTCGTTCCAGTATTTTTCTTTCGAATAAAAATTTGATGTCAAAAGAAATTTTCTGTGCGATTTGGAAAAGATCTTAATCACAAAACGTATCACTATATTGCTCTCTAACGATGTTTTACGATGCAATTAATGTTGCATTGCTTTGTTTAACAAATTGATCCAACCTTGTTTGCCGAGAATTTTCGGCAACTTCTGTTCGTTGATATACATATATGTGTGAATTCGTCCAGTTCCTTAACCCATGCATGAAGTGCGTAAATATTCTAAAAACAGTTTTGATACGTACAATTTAACACTAGCAGTAACATTTTAACATGTTATATTTTCAAAAATTAGTGGTCTTGAATTAAAAATATATATAAGGTCCCAGATAAAACACTGCAGCCTCATATTTTCAGAACGGATGGACATAATGAAATTCTGTAAACGTCATCGTTATCATCTTGAACTGTCAATTTAGTTTTATCAAGACAATGCCAACGAAACGCGTCTACATTTTTTTGTTTTTTTTCGGTGTAGTGAGAAAAACGTCATTCGGTGTTTTTACGGCTACTTCCAACGCTTATTTAGATTGACATGAAATCATATTATTTGCATAATTCATCAAGAAAGCCGATTTTATTTTCTCTCCCGTCTTATTAACGAAAATAGAATAGGCTCGTAATTGAGCCCTGTACTACACGTACATTAATTTTAGTACAGCCAAAATTTCACGTTAATCAGTCTGGTGGTTCCGAAGATTACCTGTCCAATAACGCATCAGAAAACGCCAGACAGGCCACGGAAACGGGGATCGACATTTTCGGAATTTACAAGGTATCAAATGTGGACAAAGGATGAAATTCATCATTTGTTAACAGGACCTCATCCGTCATCGTACACTCGGGAAGTAAAAAGTATTTTCTTACAGTAACAGTATGAGTAATTTTATAACTGTTACAACGGGCAGTTTTCTCGAAAAGCTACTAGAAAGTCACTTACGTAGATTAAAAACATTAAAACATTCACACAACTAATCTTAAACGTAATGCTTGTTTCTTCAAGAGGTTCAGGAAGCCCAAAATCATCAATAAAAACGATAATGGTCTCTGCTCATGAACCAAGTAGCTGCAGTCGTTTAAAGACATGCTGCAGACACCATTGTAAGGACGAAACGGAGTGACAAATTAATTATCAGAAATTTGCAAACGCGCCAGCGATACTGGTGTTTTTATAACATTCAATTACTGAAAAACGATTGTGAATTTTAAAAAAATGAAATATACCATCACTAAATTTTCTGTATCACACACCAGAGACGAGAACATTTGAATCTCGATAACCGGAAGTTAATAAAGGGGAGCTAAATGGCAACGCAAAACATCCAGCGACCTATAAAGGACAATAATTTTCAACAAAGTGGCCAAATTATTTTAGAAATCAACAACTTAACATGGACGTAGATGTGAACTCATGAATAGGGAACTGATGAATGTCGTATCTCTCACGCCGTATCGAGTCACTAACTTTGTTATCTCTTTCCAACTAAAGAAATTTAAATTTTATTATCTTTGTAGGGCACGAAACGAGATGAAGATTCTGAGTTTTGACTGAGTTTGCATGATACTTTGATAACTTTGGGGTAAAGTTAAAAACTGTAAGTTGTCGAGTCTTTGCTAGTATTTTTGAAAGTAAACTTGTAACAAAAATACATAAACATTAAACTATGAGTTGTGAAATTAAAAAGATAACTGAATGGCCTTAGAAGTGCTTAGATTAAATTCCCTAATACCATCTAAAAGCATTTTTACTTCCTCGGGGTATATAAACTAAACACTACAAAGCATAAATAGTAGAAATAGTATATTATATACCAAGGGACCAAAGTGCACGATGTAATCCCGAAAGTGGAGAGTAGTGCCCGAGCGTTAGCAAGGGCAATAACCACTTGAAGGATTACATCGCACTTTAGTCTTTTGGTGTATACAGTGCATCTTTTTTAAAAGTGGCCATGGGGATTCCTATGTTAAATTTTATACCCCATGTTAACTTATGTTTGAGTAAAGATTCAGAGCTGAAATTTTTACTGGGTGTAATTTGGTCGATTTTATTAATAGTCATGTTTTAAATTAAAGGATATTTCTTTAAAAAAAGTTAAAATATTTGGATATTTTTGTCGCTAATAATGTAGGCAGCCATGTAAAAACAAACATTTACCTGACGTTTCTAAAAGTCAACATGCCGCAGTACACAATTAAAGAAAAAGTACAAATGGTAACTGATGGATACATTAAAGCCTTATCGACAACAGAGAAACTGCGCAAAATTTTGCTGCAGCATTCCCACATCGTTCCATACCCGGCAAGAGCACATTTTGAAAATTTTATAGCAGAGTTATAAAGACAGGTTTTTTCGATCGTGGACATTAAAAACGCAATTTCAGAGAAATTGTCTTTTATTTTCTTCATTTATGTTTGAATTCCATCATTCTGTTTCTTTTTAAAAACTACAATAAAGGTATTTTTAATCAAAATTATGCTGTCAAAAATGACGAGTTAAAATGATAAATCAAAACCTTCTATGATGTACCAACACTTTTTAATCAAAATAATTTTTATTTTTTAAAGCACAAGTTAACAAATTGCTGCAAAAAGTTGTAGTGGAAATTAAAGTAGAACCCTAAATAAGGCTATTTTCTCGGCAAAAATCATCTCAGGGTTTTCACCCTAACAAAAGTTAACATGGGGTCTAAAATTTAACATGGGGTCCCTATGGCCACTTTTAAAAAATATGCACTGTATATTATTTTTGCCCTCTCGGGACTATAGATACTATATTTTAAATTGGAAGAAAATATTCGAAATTACCTGACATCAATCGCGGTAGTACCTAAGTCTTATCGGGTAACCAAGGCTATACCTAGGTGTAAATAAGAATAACCCAGTAAACACAGTTACATTATAGCGACTTCTATGTTATGTTAATGTAGTTACGAACTTGTACCATGTTACATCCCACACTGCGCCCATGTGCGCTCCCTGTGCTGTGTAATGTAATCAACATGCTAACATTTTTGGTACATGTTGACTATATACCGTCTGTGACGTACTGGAGACATCAACATTATTTCAGACTAAAGACGTTCTCTCAGTACATCGTTGTAGCGTTAGATTAGTACATCGCCAGATTCTCTACATTTTAATGTATCATTTACGTTTCGTTTAAATGTCAGTATAACGTATTAAATTGACATACACGTTGCGTATACATCACTACGTCGTAAACATGTAACTGCCAGTATATTTTATTAACATGATGCATGCGACGTGAATAGGCATGACAAAAAACCCAGCTATTAATAATGCTATTTAAATGTATCACTTAAGGGTATGGGATGGGAACATTGATGAAGTTAATGAAACTTAATTCAGATAAACCATAATTTTATTTAAATTTGGAAAAAAATATAATATATAATTTAATTCTAATACAACACATATATTTTATTAAAAAACCACTGAAACTTCAATTCGTAGCTTTTTCCCTCTTTAAACGTTGCTTGGAATGACGTATCCACTCTGAGCAGCATTGCTCCACTTCTTTTTCTCTTACAAAATGGGCCTTCAGTATAATTTCTTCAAAAATAAAAATTAGAACAATTATATTTATTGCAATAAAATATACCTTTCACGATATTTATCGCCTTCGTCTCTGCTAGTCTGAAATTTCCCCGCTGACCCAGCCATGAACAATTAGTTGCAAATTCGTTAGAAAATATATTTTTTAAAACACAACCCACATTATCCTTGTACCCATTACCACCTATCTGGGACAACAGTCTTTTCTGAAACAAGAAAAAGTGTATATTTTATGTGCATTCACCAGGTCACTTTGAAATAAATTCGGAAAAAAAAAATTACAACATCATTACCTTATCTACCGAACATTTTGTATTAATTCTAATGTAGGGGGGGAGGGTTAAATCCCAAAATCCACATCAATACAAAGCAAAAAAATTGGTATGTCACCATGAGAATTGAATAAATCAGCATTATTAACATTTACACATGTTCTCTAGACCAGCAATTTAAAAAACAAGACCTTCCAAATGCTTTAATTGTGCGTGAAATTTAATGGAGTTTTTCCAAATCTATTTAAAAGAGACCGTGTATGTATAACATATAGGTTGATTCATGTACACCATGAGACTGTTGTGCAGTCCACTATGTGTGTACCATATGTAGAGGGTTGCCAAAGTCTCCTAGTCTTACAGGAATCTATCCCTATAGAATGACCAATATTTTATTATATTGCATATTTATATGAATTTATGGATTATGTAACTTACAAAGAAATCTGCTTTTTTTGGCAGACAATGATAATCTTCTAATTCATCAAAGTCTGTTTTGTTTTTTATTGGTAGCATATCATCTATTTCTGTTTTTTCCTCATTTGTCAGATTCGATGACCTTTCCATGTTGAATACTTTATCACCAATTTCTTTCAGCATTTCTTTTATCTCACACATGTTCTTTTGTATTTGTTCCAATGCTAAAATTAAAATTATTTTCATAAGCATTAGTTCCTCAAAAATTACAGCAACATACCTATGCAACATTTCTCGCAAGGAGCCTCAGTTGGAGGAACAATTACTGTAAATTCTTCAAAGTCGACGGGTGTATCTTCATTGATTGGTGGTGGTATTTCCAGTTCCTCTGAAAAAATTGCTTTTGTTATCTAGGTAGTCATTCATATACAGTATGTCCCTGGATTGAGTTAACAAGAGGAAAAAAAAATGTATTTTCTGTTTTACAAAAAAATTACATATGAATAACATTTTTTGCTTATTTCAAAACGAATAAATCTGCAATTAAAATTTTAATATTATCAGGTTGTGTCCTTAAAATCGAAAAAAACCAAAGTAACGAAGAACTTGAAGTATGAAAAAATTAATTTTAAGAGTACAGACCAGGAATATTGAAGTTTTAATTGCAGATTTATTCGTTTTGAATTAAGCAAAAAATGTTATTCCTATGTCATTTTTTTGTAAAATAGAAAATACAATTTTTTTTCCTCTTGTGAACTCAATCCGGGGACATAGTGTATATTTGCATGAAATATGAATACTTAATTTGTAATTATCTACGAATAGTAATACAAGATTTTTTTATAATAATTCAGTATCAAAAATTTTGTACCGCTAAAGATTTTGCATGTGAAAAAGTAGAGTTCGCTATCAAATAAAATTATGAAGGAAATCTTGAAAACGTTTATAGTGCAAGAATCTGTTAATACGAAAATGTAAATGTGGATACAAAAAAAGAACAGTATGTGACTTTTTAAAATTCTTTTTGCAATTTACCACCATAATTACTTAGATAATAGAATCTAAGATAATAAACCATAACTTGTTGTTCAATTGTGTTTTTAAATATTCTATAATTGGGGCTTGCTCTGTGAAATATTTTCTACTAATAATAATATTATTAATAATAATAATAATAATATTTAAAAAGCGGCATTCAATTTTCTTGTAATTATAGCAAAGCTTATTTTTAAAACTTCAATAGGAACCTGAACAATGATTGTTATACCAACAGCAGCATTTAAATAAAATTTAAATTTATCACAAAAAACTCTAAATACGCCATTTTGGTTATAACTTGCCTTGTGTTTCAGAATCGGTTTCTGCATCAGATATTTCTGCATTGACATTATGTACTTGAGCTTTGGTTGCTTGTTTTGTATTTATAATGTCTCCATCGCTTTCGTCTGTAGTGTAAATAATCACACTTGCTTCGTGTCTTGCCTTCTCGTAAGTATCTGTAAACACAAATGATGCAAATGATACAAATATTAGATATTTTTTAACAAACTTACCGAAGTATCCTTCAATTTTGACGACGGGACTTCTTTTCCAAGTTTCTTTATTTGGTTGTTTATTGTTGTATATATAATGGGTACTATTTTTCGTTGAAGGCCACCAGCAAGTCTTGCGGTCCTTGGATAACCAGATGACAGGAACTTCAGAGACAGATCCATCTTCAAACCTAACTACCGCATATCCAGTTGAAGATAATACTTCCATATTTTTTTTCTAAACCGATAATATTATTTATAAACAAAATTGTGGTTTTAAAGAAACAAATAATGCAATAGCAACATATTGTCATAATAAAACTAATGTGAAATCTCAATAACAGCAACAAGAACGAAAACAAAGTGTCATATGATTTTTCACATAAAAATTTGATCTAAAGTTAGAACTCCTAAAAAATGAAATAACAACCGCCGTAGTATTTTTACTTCCCAACTATAATTATGTAAGCGTGTACCAAATTTTAGCAGCTTGCCAATGTAAATAAGAACGTCAGATAGAGCCGTAAATTTTGGCTGAAACACCCTATACCTAAACTAATGTATAGTACAAGATCACTATTTCATATTATTTATGAACGAGGGAAACTATTGCAAACAGTGATTCAACCATTAAAGGAAGTTTTAAACACTTAGTTTTAACTTCACTTAAAGAAATAATTGTTGTATTTTCTTCAAAATTCTTTTCATTTATTAAATAAAAACCAAATTGGCTAGATTCGGAGGGATATCTGAAAAGTGAACTGGTGGCCATATTTTTTTTTCCTTTAATAAAAATTTCATCATTTGATAAATAAAATTCATTTATTTTACAAATCGAACCAGCAACTGTTTCAATGTAACAATTAATATCGTTGTTTGACAAAACAAAATTTTTTGTAGCAATTTTTGCTATAACGGTTTTGTCGCCTTTTTCATAGTGAATAATAGGATAGTCTGTTCTCTTAAAGCTTGTTGGTACACCCTCTTGTTCTAAAATTCGGTTGTATATTTGTCTTAATGGGTTTCGGCCAATTTTTATTTTGTTTTTAATAAATTGCATGTAATTTTCAAATTTGAATGCGCTGAAATTATCTAAAGGGCCAAACTTTTTTACATCATCCGCTAGGTGAATTAGGTTGTGTACATTATAAACTAAATATTCTTTACCATATAAAATTGAAAAATTCTTTACAAAACATCTAAGCAAAGAATTTGCGTAATTGTTATGTGTGAAGCACTTCTTTGCATCCAATAAAATTCTCGTGGCTACACTTAAAAGCAAAAAGTGTTCATAATAGGTTGTTGGTAAAGTCTCTTTTAAAACAATTGGACCTGTATATAAAAGAAATTGCCTGAACTCGGTTGCTTTCCAACGTTCAAATTCTCGAATACTTCGTGGTTTTCTAGAAAATTCACAGATTATTTTGGATTTAATGGAATTAAAATAATTGTCAATTTTGTTAACTGTTACTGAATTAAATTTTAATTTCTTTTTATGAATAGGTGGCGTGGAAATCCAGAAACGAATAAGCCTTTTTGTAACTCCTAAACAAATTAAATGCATATAATCTATAGGTATTTGAGAAACCATTCCTAAATTTAAATTTTCCAAAAGAGATGTATTTTTATGGTGTTCTTGAAATGTTTTCATTTGAAAATCGTCGTCAGTACGTAATGGTGCATTTAATTCGGGAAATGTCATGCGATAATTTATTCTTACTCCTTTTTGTACGCACTTAGAACAACCATAATACGACATATGAGGTACAGTTTCTGTAACAAAAGCTTTTGCGGGTGCGTCGCAAATGACAGCATTTATCGAAACGTGTATATTTTTTCCTTGAAAAAAAATTCCGTTTTGCAGTACATCCGATGCTTCATTTACAAAATCCTGAAGGAGTTCATGACTAGTTTTAGGTTTACTAAAACCATGAAAAATACCTATTATAAATGGTTTAGTGTAAAAATCGCAAACAATTGCTCCTAATATAGGCCAAAACTGACTACCCGAACTTTTTGCAAGAGGGAGACCATCAATATTTAAGTTTACTTTGATACTTGTTGGAGGTTTATCGTAATATATGGACAATGAATTACTAAGACCCTTCGCAAAGCCAAATATAGCAAATTTACCCGAATCTACTTTTTTTATTAAGTTTTGGTATCGTACGCTTCTTGGAGTTTTCATGAATGATCTTGCGTCTGTAGGTAAATGTTCTAAACCATTAATTGATTTTAATATGCTCAACAAACTATTTAAGGCTGACTGAGATATATTGAACTTTAATTTCCAATTACGAAGTTTTTCTATAAAGGAAACGTTTACTGCGTTGTTACGAGTATTATTAATGTCATAGGTGCTGTGACTATTTAACACTGAATCTGCAACACTTTCCACATTTTTAAAAGTCATATTATCGTGATTATTTGCATTGATATGGGTGGCAGTAATATTGCTATCAAGAATGTTACAATTGCCAATAGTAGACTCTTTATTGTTAGAGTTATTGATGCTGTTACTGATCAACACTGAATCTATAACACTCTCCGCGTTTTCAAAAGTAATATTATCGTTGTCTTTTTTATGAATTGTTTGTAACACATTATTCTCTTTCATAAAATTTTTATAATGTTGTAATCTACGGTATTTCTGTGTGTTTGATAAAGTACTAAATGGTTTTAAATTTGTTTTAGACATTTCTTGAACTGTCAATTTTTGGCCTTGAAATTAAAAATAACAACAAAAATTAAAATTATGAAGTTATTAAATATCAACTTACCGTGTGTAAATAGCGACGACACTGAAGTACAGAAATTTTCACAAAACTGCACTACAAATACAGTGAGTAACGAAAACACGAGAGAGCTTGCAGAACTTTCGGAGGTTGAACGTTGAAAACCAAGTGAACGATTTCGAAATTTTACAAAGCTTCACCGGGAAATGGAAGTGCAATAACCATAAATACCGAAAACAATTCATGGGACAATCCGGACTGCTCGCCCCAAACATCTGGTGCGGTAAATATGGAAGAGCCTTATTATTTCATTAGATGAAATAAATTTAATACTTAAATAATAAAATGAATATTTTTCTTTGTTTCGTTTTATGTAGTAGGGGATGAGTGATAGAGGTGATATCCCAGAGTCGATTCCAACAACGTCTTTATAAAATCCAACGAATTAAGTCTTCACAAACTTGTCGCCGGTCGCGGTTCATCTTTCAACGACCACAATTGAGAAGGAATTTTTATGACTTTGTTTTTCTATTTGCGTCCGCAGCAAACCATCATACCCTCAACCCCAGATGGTCTGTACTTACAATAACACTTTTACTTTTAGAATCATTGAGTTTTCAGAATTAGTTATGTGTATAAGAAATTATTAGAACAGGAAAAAAATGATCATAAACCATATTTGTAATAGGTAAAGATTTTGTCTTATTTGTTTTCAATATATTTTATATGTGATTAAATTTGGAGTGACAGCTTAGGCAGAGATATAGGTTGGACAATAATGCCTCATTAAGTTATCACCTACTTATACATTCTATCATTAAATTGTAGTTTTTCGTGTTAAGATGGGGGCATTTTCTAACTCTCAGTATAGACCATATGCATTAATAAGTTAATCTCTTAATGTTCAGTTATAAAAAGCGGAGTTCATTATGTACGTACAACAACAAAATTATTTAATATTACAATTAGTAATTATTATTATTATTATTATTGAAATAAGGGAACTCAACAGGTATGTAACCCATTTACCGAGATCCACAACTACCAAAAAGAAAACAAATTTAATGAAATAAATAAAACAAACAAAGAAACCCCAAACACATAGAAAGAACTAAATAGACAATTAAGATAGAGTTTGGAGTTTTTTTTTAATATCACCTGGTTTGCAACAAAATATGTCAATAGTTTCTTCTACATTCAAATAGTTCAAATAGTTTATATGACGAATGGTATCAAAAATCTTTATGACCAACTAATTCACTATTGAATTCGTGTAACGTGCAAGATTTAAAACAATGATTTAAAACAATTAAGAAATTTCTTTTTTTAAGATTTTTAATCTTTTGTTTATATGTACTTCTTGCAACCTAGACAAAAATAATAAATATAATCTATGTATGTTTGTGAAAGTTTTTTTTTGTGTTACCATGTCAGAAGCATCAATTTTCGATTTCAGATGTCCTGCATTATCTAAAATGAACAGGATAAAAAGAAAAACACGAACTAAAGGTATAAAATAAACTAGTATCGCAGAATGATTTGGTTTATGAAGGAGTGTTCGTTTCCCGTGTTATATATAGTTAGAAAAATGCGAGCAAGGTTTGAAAAATTTAATTTCAGATTAAATATTTAGCACTATTTATTAAAAAAATGCGAGTGACACAGTCTGGACATACGCACAAAATTTTTCTGAAATGTGCGCATATATACATATAATATACCCAAAAAGGCTGAAATATGCATATATATTTTTACAAATGATGCACTGTTTTCAACTCATTACGATTACGTGAAAAAAAGTATTACTTTCATTAAGAGTGTATTTAAAAGTGAAAAAAACAAAGAATGTATTTTTTAATAAATCTACTGCAAAAAATATATAAAATATTAATTAGTTTTGGAAATTATCTCGCTGTATGCTTTGGAGAAAATGTTTTTGTCAGTATAAATTATGTTCGGATTATCTTTAATCGATGACAAAACCACGGAAGTTTTCTCTCTCTCGTTTTTTTGGACATTCACGCTTTTTATGAGACGCTTACATACGAAAGAATGAATCATTTACTTATATCATATTCTTTTCGCTAAAGTACAACCTACATACCAACTCATACTTTTACGCCTTTGGATAAACCAGATCGTAAAAATATTAGTCTTGACCCATCTTGAAGCGGGTAAAACCAAGTTATTAACATGCAACGGAAATGACCGCAATAAATGTAAATAGGTACAGACTACCGAAAGTAATCCTATATTATTATCAGTAGGCGGAAATTTATCTTAAGAATGCAATTCCCCAGTTGAAGCAAGGTGTGTTTTACGGCGAGTAGCGGGGACGCTTTGATCTGGTCCACAAGGTCGTAGCCAGTGCGTGGCTAGGAGTGTTTACAGCATGTTAAAAAACTACTTCTATATTACTATATTACTTCAAAAAACAATACTCGATGCCCTTTTTAATTTTTCAAACACAGGACCACAGATTTGTGATCTTGAAATGTTATAT